GCATCTTCAACATCTACTTTCTTTTTTCTAGTGGGACTCACCCAAGTAGTTTTGATGTCCTGGAGACTAGTTTTTACAAATTTGTTTTTTTTTTTAATGTATTGATTTTTCCCAAAGTGAAACCTTTCAGACATATATAGGCTTTGTGTTAGTTAGTGAGGAGAAATAATAAACATATTCTGATATTATCTGAAGGTCACTAGATGCTGTGGTTTCTCCAAATCTAAAGAAAGAAAATTTAATAGATAAAATCTCAATGGTGTCTCTTCAGTATTCACAATCTCAGGCATCTTGAGAGAAGAAAGGGGAAGTGAAAACTATTCCAAAAGTAGCCATCACAGTTGCATCACTGGGATTGTGCCCTTGAAGAGGATGTTGGGATCCCAGCCCGTCATCTGTCTGTTCCCTGCTAGTGGGCAGTGGTGCTGGGTGCAGTTCTTAGGTGGTATGCTCTTGGCAGTGAAAGGAGAAGTCAAAACTTGGCAGACATTTCACAGCTTTGTCTGTTGGGTTGGGGACTCACACTTTGATTGCTCCTGGAAGTCCACATATTTCACAGTTCAATAAAAAAAGAAGAAAATGTCGTACCCTGCCCATAAACCCACATGATACTCTTTCAGTAACTGTGCTCACTCTAGTGCACTGACTGCCCACACCCATTCTTCACATGGAGATAACAGAAGAATGCCCATTTTTCTTTCAGACACACAGTAACTCGTTAAAGACAAAACCTCTTGCTTTGCTAAACATCTGGCATTTTCCACAAAAGAACCTCATACAAACTTAAAAGTCAAAACATACCCAGGAACTGAGTTCAGAACAAAGAGCCCTCCCCTCCCACCGCTTGATGTACTAAGAGAATTAGTGTCAGAGTAAAAGCAGATGACTTAAATGGGGTTGAGGACAGTTTTCCTGGGTGAATGATGGATTCATTACATTCCTATCATCATCACCCAACCTTACTTTGTAAGAGAAGAGCTGAAAATATAAATCAGGAAAGGCATTGAGCATTACAGGAAAGCGATGCTAAAGAGAGCTTCCCAGAGTCATTAAGTAGAGATTGGAAGACACAGAGTATCACCATCTTGTCTGATGTCTGAAATCAACACTGCTACTGAGCCACACACCCAGCCTCAGATGTGGCTTAGTAGCATTGTGCTCACTTGGCATATGCAAGGTCCTGAGTTCAATCCCCACAACCAGCTGTAGTGTTGTATAATCAAGTATGCTTGAACTATTTAGAGAAAGCCTGCCTGGAAAATGCTTCTTAAATGTTGTATTGTAATGTAGGTGTTTCTTTATTCACTCTGTTTTTATGCAGCTTATTTTCTACAGTGACATGTACACTGTATTGGAGAAACCTTCTAAGTCACCAGATCATCTGTATGACTTGTAACTCTTTTATTTATTTCTATTGTCCCTTGTATATCTAAACATTCAAACAGTACATTGCATAGGAGTCTACACAGTAGATAGCCCTGTCTTCATACTAGTTTTAATTGATGGTAGATTGCATTTTTCTCCATTTAAGATGATGTAGACTATGGGTTTGTCGTATGTAGGTATGTAACTTCCACCCCTATTCCTTCTAGAACATTTATCATGTGATAACGTTGAATATTGTCAGAGACCTGTTCTGTACTCATTGTAATGACTACATAACTTGTGTCTTTGAGTCTATTTTTACATTGTATTACATTATTTTTAAGTTTGTGGATTTTTAAACCATTGTTACGAGCAGTTTTCCTGCCAGCCTGGCCCCACAGTCACGTCAGTCCCAAATAACATACAGAGACACACTATATTAGATATAAAGCTGTTGGCCTGTTACTAGCATTTCTTATTGGCTAGCTCTGTCTTAAACATTAAACCATTTCTATCAATCTAAGTGTTTCCACGTGGTCTTATCTTACTGGAAAGAGGGTCCGGACTTTTTCCTCTCTCAAGTCTCTAAATCTTGAATCTCCACTGCTACATCTCCTAGAATCCTCCTTGTCTCCTAGTCCCACTTATCTTGCTTTCCTATTTGTCAACAGTGCTTTATTAATTAACTAATAAGAGAAACATATATACAGAATGACATCTTCCATCAAACCATTCCATTTACAACAAATTTTCTGAGATTTTTTTGTGTCTGTGTTTATCAGGGATAACAGTATATAATTTTATTTTGTTGTCATATCTTTATCTAGTTGGGACTGTAGAACAATATTAATTTTGTAGAAGAAATTTGGAGTTGTTCTTTCAACAATTATATAATTACTTTAGAAGCATTGGCGGCAGTTCTTTAAAGAAGGTAAATTTTTGTTGTGAATCTCTCCAAAACTGTTTTTATACTGAAAGGATTTAAAAATATTGCTTCAATATTTTTCTGGTTATAGCTCTCTTTAAATTTTTAATCCCATCATTGTTTAACTTTGGTGGGTCAGTTATGTCTAGAAATTTATTAATTTCTTTTAGGATTATCAGTTTAGTGGAATATAGATTTTGAAGTATGGATTTGTGACTTTCCAAATCCTCTGATATCTGTTATGGTAGCATCCATGCCAAGGTTTATTAATCACCCCTCCAATACTCTTCTCTTTCCTGGGATTCTTCTTAGTTTTGAGCAGTGTTTGGTATCATCAATAGAGTTAGACTTGATGCCTTTTGTGATAAATATTGGGGGTTTCTAGTTTCTTGGGTTTTTCACTGAGGATCTAACATCAAACATTTGAGTTTATTTTCTGAAATGTTTCTTTGCTCTGAATTTTACTCATTGCACATTATTTACAGAGGGAGCTTTAGTTCATATTTATTGTTAATGGCAGTCATTTACTCTCTGCAGATATTTTGTTTTGTTTTAGTTGAGTGAGTTTGAACTGTATTTTTTTTTCAAAACAGTTGGTGAGTTACTGCATGGGGGGTGCATATTTTATTAAGTATAGCTCTTTGGGACTGACAAATTCTTATTTTATTTTGATTATTTTAAAAGAAAGGAAGAGTTTGTTGGCCAGTAAAACCCAAACACATGAACAGTGAGTTAAGGAACCAGGGGAAACAGAAGCTCCTGTCTCCATGGCCTTCCCTGTTGGTCCTTGTCTTCCTCTATCTGTTTGTCTTGTGTTTCTGAGCCAGAAGACATGTCTCCAACAATTCCATGCTTCTCCTGTTTTTTGTCTTACTATCAGAGAACATAACTCTCTTTTGTAAGATCCATTTATAAGTGGTTAAAGACATTATATTAGGGAAGACAAATCAATAAATAGTCACATGATAGTTAATGACTTTTGTTGACAATACCATTCCACTCTTTGAATAACATTACTAACTATGGCATGGCAATCTCTCAATTTCATTTTCCCATTATGTTTAGCTGATGAAACAACTTGCCTAAAGTTAAAAGGGTATTGCTCAGATGTCAAGAGTGTGCTACAATTACTCATTTTTATTCTCATTGCTGTGTGCTTAGTGCATCCCAGAGAGATGTAGGCAGCTATTTAGATTAGAACATCAAAGGTAATGCAATATTACTTCTTATGCATTCAGAAGGGGAATGAACCATTATCTGAGTTCTGAGGGACACAATAATCCCCAAAGAACTTACATAGTAATATTGATTCTATAGACATATAATTTCTAAATATAATTACCATGTCTGGGAGTCCCATATTCATGGAATCTTACAATCATGGATTTAAATATGTAAAAATGCATTGCTGTTAAATATGCATAAATTCTTTTCTTGTGTCCATTTCTTAAAGTACACTAATATTATTTCATTGGATATTATGGGTAGCCTAGATGTGATTTAAAGTTAATGGGAAGAAGTATATGTGTCATTTGAAAACACAACATCATTTTAAGAAATACCATCATGCGTGTATTTTGATACCCATGGGGCTTTCTGAATGCCATCTTCCACAGATACTGAGGGACAGCTGTGTTGGAGGCTGCCCTGCTCAGACACCTCTTGGGGGACGAGGTGAGAAGACACAGCAGCAATGACTCAGGCACTGGGAGTCGGTGAGTAGCTGAGCATGCTGCAGACTTGTTTATTATCAAAGTTGAGGCTGCCTTTATACCCCCTCCCAAGGTCCTATGGGCTCAGGCAGCTGACTTTGCTACATATCCTTTCCTCATTGGTGTCTCTGGGTCAGGTGTCTCTCCCTCCATGTCTCTGGGCATCAAGACAGGCTTGGCAGCTTGGCTCAGGGAGGAAGAGCCTGCCAGGCATGAGCATGCATGCAGGCTGGCCTGGCCACCTGGTACAGGGCAGTTTCAGCTTGGGTAGTCTGCCAGCTATTTGTCTCTCTTACACAGCTGCATAGACCTCTCTGCTCCCAAACAAACTGTGCCTCCTGAAAATTGTTTATTAGTTAGTTTTCACCATTATGTCAGTCTTGTCTTTGTCTTTCTATCTCCTTCTCACACCCTGGCAAATTCATTTTTCTCATATATTTAAAGATAAACACATAATAATTTATACTGCCCTACATTCCATGTTTTACCTTGTCAATACATAATGGTGTTTCTTTCAAAATTTATTTATTTTTTTTAAGATTTCACTATCTAGTTTCTAGCTCCTTAGGGAAACTCTTACTCAATGTTGTGTAGAATATGCAAGCTAAAAGCCAACTCTGATTGTCACCTTAATATCTCATTGAAAATATGAATTGTCTCACTTTTCTGTGGGCATATTTTCAATGATACTGCTAAAAATTCCAGTAGGTTGTTACCCATCAGATTAGAGTCAGTGGAATGCTTGTGTGTGTGTGTGTGTGTGTGTGTGTGTGTACCAACCTTGATGCAGTATCCTATATAAACGGATTTCCTAGGGAAGGTAGTCTGAAAGCACCTAGTCTCAAGGATAGATCACTAATCAAATCTTGAGAGTCAACCAAGAATCAGGAGACTGTATTGGATGCAAGAAAAAGTGATTTTTATTAGGTCAAATATAACTACTCCCATGCACAGTCCAAGAATTTATGAATAGGTGATCTCAAGACATTTGAATTTATATTTGATTATTCATTAATTTCTTAGTTGAATAGACCCGGTGTGGCCAGAGAAAGGATGCAGAGAGAGGTTTACTTATAATCAGGAAGTTCAGCGACTTGATCTCTAGATGGCTGATCCACAGGTGAGCCTTTTACAAGAAGAACTGAAGTTTCTAGAAGTCACACAGGATGGTTGGCAGAATCCAGATCCATAACCAAAGGAAGGGTAGCGGCGGACTCCACATCTCACAGGTCTGAAGCCACTGAGACCACAGCCTGAAGTGTAGAAGCTCCTTGACCCATAGCCCAGGGAAGAGAAGCCATGGGGTCTAAAGCCACTGGATCCACAGCTCAGTGAGTAAGAGCTCCTTGACCCATAGCCCAGGGAGTGACAGCTGCCGGACCCGAAGCCCTGAGAGCCAGCATATGTGGTCCTGCAGGGACTGCAGAGGCTGGAGACCCTGGAGCTGTAGCTGGGCCGCTGACAGGAGCTTTGCACCACGTGGGAAGTCTGGCATCTGATGGGCTGGAAGCAGTTCTGATGGCAGCCGCTGTGCAGAGAGGAGCCCACATGGCAGGTTCTGGGAGAGCAGAAGTTAGTGCTGTAGATCAGGTGGCGGGGGTAGGAAGAGCCACAGGAGGAGTAGGGGTAGTTCAGTTGACCCCCAAAGGATCTAGAGGAGAACCTTCCAGAACAGCAGCCGTAGGACATGCTGAGAGTAGATGTGAGATCAGCTAGGTGTCAATGAGGCAATGCTGTGGGTTTGAATGTCATGGTTGGAACCTCAAGTTATATACCCTCTTCTGTTGGGTGTGTCCACATTCCACTGCTCCATTCACCTCCCTCGCCCTTCCCATGAAAATATTTCCCTGGGTTGTTAAGTCTAATTTATCATACATTCATATATTAATTGCACTTTAATCACTTGTGGCACATAGTAAGAAGATACTCATAGTTTCTTTTCTCTGGTATTTGCTGTGGTTTGAAGTTCAGTGTTACAGTTTACCACATTTCCGAGTATCCTGTCATTACCCATGAATTTGCTGAGCCTCTGTCCCGATAGAAGGGTTACATAAACTCTATATTCATTTCATTCAGATACTGAAAGTACTCAGTGGCTGCTACTCAAAATCACTTGTCCCTTTTCTTTACCACAGCACACTGTAATGGAATCCTTCAAATACTGTATTTTGTTTCTTTTGTTTGTTTTCTTGGGTTATCAGATAAGGCCCCCTCTGCCATACAGAGCTGACAATTAAGAACACCAGCTGTGGAATTTCTATCAATGGTTTTCCTCCGTAAAGAGCTTTCTCATACCATGGTCACTGAAGAAACAATAAATACCATACTTTGAGTAGGACTTAAGGAGAAGTATCTTCATAGACTTCGCTAATGAGACTCCTTTGTAGTATACAACCTTTATCATGTGTGTCTGTACAAATTTCTTGTATTTTATTATTTTGGTAGAAGGGAAGATTCTTGAATGGCATCATGTATGTATACTTAAAATGCAATTTTAGGGACTGCTATTTCTTTTCTAAAATTCCTAACTTCAGTTCTTAGAGTCAAGTAGATACTCAAACAAAATCTTCCCTGGAATCTCAGCATGGAGGACGTTTTAATCCTTAACTGTGCCTTCCTCAAGCAGAGACAGTCTTCAAGTTCTGCAAATTCAACTCTAAGTTGTCATAAAATTTAAACTGTTAAGCTTGATTATATTAATATATAAAAGTCTTATTTACCTTTCCTGGTAATATTTGCATTGACTAGGTGTCCAACAGGGGGATTCTAATGCCTCAGTTATTTTTACACATTTCAAGAATAGTTTATTTTCTAGCTGCAGAAAGAAAATGACTAGAAAATCCATAGTCAGATTAATGGGGACAAGGGCTTCTTGTTTGCTTTGTTCCATTTGTCTTCTTCTGAGCCTGACACTTTATGAGGCTCAGCTAAGGGAGATGACATTCCCAACTGTCATTGTATAGAGGCCCCTTAAACGCCTGGGAATTAACTTGCTTTATGCCAAGCACGCACACTCTTCAGAGCACTTACTTACTTTGTTTTATGATTATCTCTCTCATGCAAAATCCAAAGGGTGGCATGCATCACACAAAGTGACCTTGTGCAATGCTTAGGCCACCATTCTGACTCACTTAAGTAAAACATACTGTGCTTTGTGAAGGGACACCTATTGAATTTCCAAACGTACTGAGTGCCATTCTCAGCATGGCACGTGGCCCTCCTTCTAATGCCAGCTGTGAACGTGTTTAGATCAGAAGTAACTTTCTATTATTAGTAGAGGCTGAGGGAGAGAGAGAGAGAGACAGAGAGAGAGACAGAGAGACAGAGAGACAGAGAGAGAGAGTTTGTTCTTGATATCTCAAAGTTCCTGCTTTCCAAGCAGGAAACTACCCATACTGGAAAATAAACATCAGGGTTACTAGGATATGAATCAATTCTGATTGATGCTGCCTCCACCCATTGTAATACTTATTATTTTTCACTAGAGTTATATGTATACTTGGTAGAAATGCTAATAACCCACTCATAAATGCTAATAAATATGTCTTTCTGAATGGAAGAAAGGGTAGGACTAAGTAATGCAGTTTTAATGACTCCAAAGTAGATCCTGGAAATACTGAGGCACTCTACACTTTCTCTATAGACAGACAAGATCTTTAGGGAAAAAAAATAGTCCCTCTCTAGATAGGTAAGAAAAAAAAAAAAAACTACATCTGCGGTAGCATTAATTTTGGACTTACTGATCTATCATCTATCTGTCTGTCTCTATCCCTCTATCATCTATCCATCTATGCATCTATCTATCTATCATCTATCACTCTATCCCCCATCACCTTATTATCTATCCCTCTATCCATCTATGCATCTAATCGAACTGTGTATCTATCATTCTATGCATCAATCTATCAATCTATCTATCTATAATTCATCTATCTTTCTCTCTCTAGCAATCCATCTTTCTACTTATCAATTATCTATCTACCCATCCATCCATCCACCCATCATCTATCTTTTTCTCTCTATCTCTCTCTATCCATCCATCTTTCTATCAACTATCTATCTCTCCATCCATCTTTCTACCTATCTATCAACTATTTATCCATCTATCTATCATCTATCTATTTATCTAACTATGGACATAATGTAAAAGGGGGAATGGGGAGGAGATCTAAGGCAGCAAAGAGGTAGTGGATTTTATGTCAAATACAATGTATTCAATGTGAAATGCTCAAAAAATAAAGAACAATATTAAAAGGCTGCCTTTCCTCCCCCATTTTATTGAAAAATACCAATATACTACATTAAAACAAATACTAATGCCCTTGACAGTGCTGCTAGTGGAAAGTTGCTTGTCATTTGTCCTTGCAAAATTGTCCTTTTTCCAGATCACTACACAAGCCACTTAGCCTTCAATCCAACAATTTCTTATGGAGGTATTATTTAAAAATTAAAGAAAAAAACTTTCAAAATAAGCAAAAGTCTGCAATAATAAAAAGAACAGAGTAATATCTGTGCTCAAATCCCTGTGTATTTCCCTCATGTGTTCATTTCATTTCCTCAAAACTGACTTGTCAAGGCCCAGAAAAGCATCTTGCTGCCAAATTTGGGAGATTCTTTCTCATAACAAATCTGGTTCCCTGCTGTGTTTTCTATATGTTCACCCCCTGGAGTTTTATGTGTCACCATTGGTCAACACATAAAACCCAGGGGGCCAGCGTGGAGAAAGCACAGTTGACACAGATGGAAGGCAGGACCATAGGCAGAGGTCTTGATGAAGAGTCACATCCTTGCTCTTGTATTCCCTCTCCGGTCCCTCTTGCGCTTTCTCTCCCATGACCTCCCAAACTCTCCTTGGCAGCAGAGCTCCTTGCAGTAGCTGCCCTTGCTCCAAGCAGATCCAGTTCATGCCCTCAGTCCCATTTAACTCATAATGTGTTTGATGTGAAAATGTAACCAGTTTCCAAGCTGCTCTTTTTTGCAGATTTGCTTCTAAGAGCCTACACTTGATTCACACAATTGTAGAATCTAGGGGAGGGGAAGGGGCTACGTAAAATCCCATGAAGTAACACAGCAAAGTCTAGAGTTTTCTGGAAACCGTTTCCTCAAAACTTCAGCATTTGTTCTCAATTTCATCATCTCTTCTCTCTCCTTAAACAAAATAAGTTAGACATCAGAGAAAATAGTTCTATGTGGGCCAACTTGAGTCTCAGCTTTCCAAAGGCGTAATAATAGTACATTTGATTTTAAATGGACTTCAAGGAAATTAATTTTACAAACATATATAAATTCATACAGTTGGTATTGATAGTGTTGCTTTCTTTCTAATAATGTTGCCATGTTTGGCATGCATATGTAACTTTCATTTCATATTGAAATTATGTGTACTTAAAATATGTGTACTTGCATATTTCACATTCATTCCTCATCATTACACTTTGTTATTAATCACAGGTCACTTCATTTCCATGACTAATCCTACAAGGTGCATGCCTTTTATGGTTATTTTACAGTTGAAGAAGCCAGAGACATAAACAGGTTGAGTAAATTACCCAAGGTCACCTGCGTAGTTAGTAGCAGAAGTGGAATTTGAACCCAGTGACTGAAATGCAGACAGTTTGTGCAAAGAACTGCTTTGATGCATTACAGGCACCAGCTTCTCCAAGTTTCTACTACGCAGAGTTTTTCCACACGAAACAGCATGTTTTATGTTTATCAACCACCCGTTTTTAATTTTCACTGTTACAGATCGTGCTTTGGCACAGGTGTCTGAATCATCTGTTTGGGGTATATACTTACCTCAGGGTGAGATTACTAGGTGTTTGCGATTTTAAACATTTTGTTGTTGCTACCAGAACAATGTTGGCCATGGACTTAGGATGGCTATTTAGAACCCTGACGCTATCACATTGAGACTTTGTTCTTTTAGTTTTATGCATTTTTTCCATAAACTCACTTCTTCCTCACACATACCTTTTAGAAGATTTTTCTTTTGTGCATGTGTGTATGAGTGTGTACCTTGTGTATGCTTGATGCTCTTGGAGGCCAGGAAAGAGTGTCAGATAACCTGAAACTGGAGTGACAGATTTTTGTAAGTGACAATGTGCGTTCTGGGGACAGACTCCAGATTCTTTGTAAGGACAGTTTTAGTGCCATCTTTGTTTTATGGCTTTGTCTCTCATATGTGTGCTTTTCTAGTCCCTTGTTTAACTGTTATTTTCCATCAGTTTCTTAAGATATCATTCCCGTGTAGTGAAAAATCACCATTGCCTGAGTTTATGTTTGTATGTGCATGTGTATGTGTGTGAATGTGTGTATGTATGTTTGTGTATATTACTATAGTGCCTGTGGGTTTGCATGCTTGTAGATGCCAGAGGTTGACACCTGTCAAGTGTCTTCTTTAATCTCTCTCCATCTTGTTCTAAGACAGTCACTGACCCTGGGGTGGGGTGGGGTGGGGTAGTCATCACTTTTGCTAGAAAGCCTTGCTCTAAGCCCCAATCATCCTGTCTCTGTCTCCCAGCATTTGAATTACAGGTGCATGGCACCACAGCTGGCTTTTTTCCTTAGTTTCTGATGAATGAAAGTTGGTCCTCTTGATTGTGTATCAATTTACTGATTTCTCCCCAGAGCAAAATTCAACCTCTTAAAGATGCACCTCTGTGTTCCCACAAGCGTATGTAGTTACATAACCAAGAACCAACCAAGATAACTTCCTTCACTGAAAGATG